TCCACTATACTTGGATTTGACCCGAATTACTATTTGGATCCAAATTTTATATTCGGATCCAAATATTAAATCCATATCCAGATCCGAATAAGATATGAATTTCAGATTTTGAATTCAGACCGGGTAAATTCTGAGCCCTAATGAGATGTCACCAATGTTTATAGCCCTCCTTGTTTGTTTAAGCTAAAATAGTTATTTGGACTATGTTGTCTAAATACATTATACTCGTATGAAATGTATTATTTAATCCCTTATTAAGAACATATTACATTGTATATAGTGTACACAATGTGTGCAGATGATGGTAGATCATATCGTATATTTTTTTTTTTCTTTTTTTTAAACATTAACACATGAGATCACATCATAGACCGTAGAGATGAATGGCTGCAAGGATATAGCCCCATAGAGCGGCCAATGGTCGCGCTTGGGTAGGGCCAGCCTAGGCTCAGCTCTAATCCTACCAAGAAGTCCAGGGCCAGCTCTAAACCTGTTATGCCAGGCCAAGCCAAATATAATCAAAAAAATAAAATAAAAGACAAAGGAAACAAGGGTCGGGCTGGAACAAATTGGGCCAACCCTTACCCAAGCCTGACCCTGCCCTCACGCCACATTTTGTAGCCCTTGCCCTAGCTTTTTAAGGGTGGGCGTTGCCACCCCTATGGTCTCACATGCGCTCATCTATACATTATTTATGGGCAGTAAACGCATTCTAAGGAGCTATTTGGATGACATCTAATTTTATTTGCAATTCCCTATCTCATCTAAAATCAATATATTATGTACAAAATTATTTTAACTGTTGTTTGGTATGTACCTTTTATTATGTCTTATTATTTAAAATTTTAATGTTTTTAGCAGATTCTATCCATATTTAGTTATTTTTTATTAAAAACATAAGATTTTCAGCAAATTACTTTGGATAAAATAAAATTAATCATTCAAAAAGACAAATTTATATATAAAACTGCTTATAAATTTATCAAATATATGATGGACATTATCAAATAACAAATAATATATCATTAGGATTAATTTTATTGAATAACAATTTATCAGGGATAACAAGTACATTCAAATACGCCTAACTTTTTTTATGTGCTAGCTTACATTATTTTATTTTCTAAATGGATGTTAAATATTTGTTAACTTCCTAATTTTTTCTATGATGACGTGACCAGGGCACCTCTTGCTTGAAAGAATTTCTAAAGTTCAACTTGTTTGAGTTTTTTATTAAAGGTTGCGACCTTAAACAATCCAATTAAAGCGCACCTTAAAATTTTATCATAACATGTAATTTTGTTATAAAAAATTATTAATATTATCTTAAACTCTATTTTCATACATAATTAGAAAATTTTAAATTTAAAAAATGGTTAAAATCAGGTAGATCTATAAATATATGAAAATCTTGAAAATGGACGGTCTAGATAATGTGTTCCAAGATGCACTATTTACGGGACTCAAAAACTTTTTTTTTTTCATATTGATACATCTCAATATCGAGATGATCGATTAGAAGGTTTTTTCAACATTAAAACAACATTTTCGATAAATTTTTTAGGCGCATATTTGATTCTACATTTTAATGTTGCAGTTTTCTATAAACTTTTCCCTTTCATTAATGGTTGGCAAAACAGCCTTATACCTATTACCTACCTAATCTTTGTCCACGTTATTACACATGGAGATTGCCACAATCATATTATGAAGCTTTTTTTTTTTTCTTTTTTATTTTATTTTATTGTTTTTTGGGGTAAGAACGGTAGAAATGGAAGATTGGACGTTTAAGTTGAGACTCCTGCCCCCCTAACCACCTCGGACCCAACCCCAAACCCCAAAGCTCCTCATTCTTTCGCAAGCGAAATATAAGATCATCTTCATCGTCCATTGATGATAGCTAGAATGCGCCACAAGGCCATTGAAATGCA